TATAAAGAAATACTATAACAGACTCACTCTACACAGCGACAGACTGCTGACGCAGCCTAATTTGTCTCAGTGGCGCATCCAGAGTTTAAGTCTAGGGGTAGTGGTAATAAAATTTAAGTCTGAGAGGTAGTGGTTATATTTAAGACTTTATTTTTAATAATAATACATTTTAGTACCTATAAAAAGTTAGGTTTAAACAGTCTTGGGGGTATATTACCCTCATTACCCCCCCCCCCCCCCGTATATACGCCCCTGATTTGTCTAAAGTGGGAATGCTCGGTAGTGTTGATTTTCAATCGGCAACACCTACTATTACTGTATAAGAGAGATAAAAACAATAGTCGTCTGGTCTGGGTGTTCAATTAATACAATGCCAAAATATTTACAAAGCCAAGCATAGGAAATAATATTTCGTTTATTAGAATATTTTAAGAAAAGTGATTCTTTCCAATAATTTTGCAAAAAAAGTTGGCAGTACAACTTATAGCTAATGTGAATAATGATCCCAAAACTCTCACTAACATTATAAAAGAAGTTGCTGAAGTTACTTCTTAAAAACAATTGAACGAATAATTGAATCGCTCCATGTTAAACGGGCGTAAGTCTATTTTTAACAATTTGAGAAAACAAAAAACAACTGTCGTGTAAAAATTTTGTTGAACGAAAAGTTAGTCCAATAATTACGCCACATGGCATTATTATCTTCAACTAACTTTTCGTTAAAAAAAATATTTACACGGAATTTTTTTTTGTTTCCACAATTTGTTAATACATAGACTTACGCCCGTTTAACATGGAACGATTTAATTGTAAAAGGTGGCCAGAGCCCAAAGGGTAAAAGATCTACACCGATCACGCCCAAATGGACACCGTCCGAAGCCATATCTCTCACACAACACACGCCCAAACGATTATTTAAAAGTCCAAAAAGAGCTAAAAAGTGTAACAGATATTCTATTCTACAAAATTGGAATAATTAGATTTCATATAACATAAGGTATGCATTTAACAGTCAAAATTCTTAGTGAAAAATTAAAAAATAAAATTGCGTGGAGCTACACATCGTTAAGAATGAAAAAAATCTAATGTGTCCAACACATAACTATCCTGTCTAGTTATTACAGGCTTTTTCTGGTTATTTTATACAACTTATTGCATTACCCCTGTAAATGTTTAGAGGAAGAACTAAATATATACATTTTCCACACACATCTTATTCAGAACATTTGTTTTTAAATATATTCATTGCCAATGAAAATACTGAAAAATTTAAATTTTACATCTTTCTTTAAATTTTTCCATTACGGTTTATTTTAGAGAAATCATGTATAGAACAAAAATTATAGAGAATAATATCGTAAACAACTTTTATTCGTAAATAACAGAGATATACTTTAAAGTAAAAAACGACAAGCACCTTACCAGATGCTTCGACAATGCTCAAAATTTAATCAGCTCACCGCAGGACAGATTAAAGCTTAAGTTTTAAATTTGGTGTTTTTTCTTTATCCGTTTTTGAGTTACCTCAAAATTCGAAATTTGAACTTTTCCTCAAATATCTCGAATACGATCCATTTTAGGGAAAACATGCACAGAACAAGAATTGTAGAGAATGACATCACAAGCAACTTTTATTTGAACAATTTTCTTAAAAATCGAATTTTGAACTTTTTAATTTCTCGAGTACGGACCATTTTGGGAAAATTATAAATAAGACAAAAAATTATAGAGAATAATATCACAAGCAACTTTAATTTGAAGAATTTTCTTCTCCAAGCGTTAATAATAGTTATATTTAATAAAGCAAAAAACTATCTGCTATAAAGTACTCCCCACCCAGTAAAAGTAAAAAATGGTTTCAAATGGCGAAAAATGCGAAACAACAAGAAGATTCTAATAGAACGTCTTGGCATTAGGTAAACAAGAATAGTCTATATTAAAAAAATTAGATATTTCCATTCTCAAAATCATCCCATGCTATAAAATTGCAAGTGATGACTTTAAAACCATAAAACTTACACTATTAGTTAATCAATATATAACATTATCTTCTATGCATTTTGCATCACATATTCTAGTTTCTAGTTTCTTTGAAACATATTACTACAATGACATTTCTTGTAATAGGAAACCATCATAATTACTTTCAAAACATGTTAAATTTCAGTAAATAACCTAAGTATTTATTCCTTTAAAAGGAAATTATTTTCTGTAATATTTGCAATTTTTCATGAATCAATTCTTAAGTTATCCAAATTTAAAGATTTACTTCTTGTCTATAATTCTCATTACAAAATAAGGAACATCCATTATTATTTTTATATGAGTAACTTTTATGGTCTTAATGACTGATTAAATATTTTAATTATATTTGCAAATTGTCTCTTCTGTTTGTTTAATTTAATTTTTATACAATTATTGTTAAATGTATTATATTTTTAAATAAATCCCTTATAAAATATTTTTAGTTCAACAAATATTGAGTTTAATCTAACGTATTCAAACTGTTATTTTTTTATTATATCCTTTTTATTATAAATTAGTAAACATCATCACGAAATGGCATATATAATATTATACAAAACAAATGTATGATGCTACTGACCGATATTGTAGCCAGTAAGAAGGCGTGCCAACAAGTGCGCAAATCATACTTAGACAAATTAATCTGCGCCAGCTAACAAAAAATCAAAAAACCCACATGAACTACGGACTAGAACTCTAGCTGGACGCCGCGGCGCCTAAGTGCGAGGCTGGCTGTCAGAATGACCATCCAAATATGAACCCTATCAAGATCAAGTTGGATTTCTGTTTGGACAGATGGCTTCACCCAAACGTGAGTTTTGCGACAAATAGAAGAAGAAAAAAGCTATTTAATACACAAGAACAACTTTAGTTTCCCAGAGAAAGACAAAACTATAAACTTGGCTCTATTACCGGGCAACAAACAACCACAAGACCTCACTAATGCCAAATAACAGGAAGGGAAGACATGCAAAGCATAACAGAAATCAATCAAATGTATTGAGGGCGGAGAAATGAATCATGATGTAGTCGGCTCCTGAGGACAGAAGAAAAGCCAAAAGCATGTAACTACTTGAGGAAGCAACTGTTAAACCTGGGACGACATTCACTAAATAAATGATAGATCTTAAAACATTGCAGTGGACAAATGCAAATGGCAAACGCCTTTAAATATAATAATATGTTACTTTAGAGGATAGGACAGTTAATGCTGACTACTGACTGGTATATACTGCAATTTGTTTGCCGAAAGTTATAACTGAAATCAGACGAAACAACGTAAACCGACGAATGATCATGACACTCCAAGCTCTCACACAGCAAGACAAACTATAAAGTTTTCGGCCAGTAACAACATCCAAATAATGACTCATTGCCCACATTAATCTAACTTATCGCCCAATGACTTCTTATTCAGACACATCAAAAATGAAATGCGTGACAAGCGTTTTTCATAGCCTGAAAAATCTGTAATTTAATTCACTTATTTTGAAGGTACCTTGCTTAGAGTAGAAAAACTGTTTTGAAGATTGATTTCATCGTATTCAAAAGTTATAGATTTTAAAGGGGGATATTTTTAGAAGTAATAAAGCTATTTACATGTATATAAGACTGTAATGAAACAGACAGTAACCACAGCTTCTAAGACATGAGCTCTAATCAAAGATATGACATACTGGAAATATGGAAAAGGAAGATATTGACGATTTTTGGGGAGAAGAAAGTAAACGGAGTTTGGGAAAGAAAGTGATAACAAAAATAGTGAAAGCTCAAAGAATAAAGCGGGTGAGGAAATGATAGTAAAAAAGATATTAGACATAAACTTGTTAAATAATAGAGGACGAGGAAGACCAAGAGTAAGGTGGAAACAACAAGGAGAAAATTTAAAGAAAATAAAAATAGGAAACTGGGCAACAATCGCTTAAGATGGGAGAAAATGGAAAATGTAGTGATACAAGCACTGTACCAATTTAAATACCTCATTTTTTGACCCTACCGGAGGTGGAGATCCTATTTTATATCAACATTTATTTTGATTTTTTGGACATCCTGAAGTTTTTTTTCCAGGATTTAGAATCATTTCCCGTATTGTAAGACAAGAAAGAAGTAAAAACAGCTTTTGAAACTTTAGGAATAATGTATGCAATGATAGCAAGAGGATTATTAGGATTTATTGTATGAGTACATCTTATATTTACAGTAGAAATAGAGTATATACTCGAGCTTATATAATATAATAGTATATTATGCAACGATCATGTAATGAGCCGAAGGCGAGTTTCGTATGGTTTATGGGAGTGTATTAATAACCATTACATGAGAGTTCATACGCTATTTTTTCTACGCCAGATAAATAATCAAGAACTATAAATATTATATTTGTATTGAACACAATAACAGTAATTACTCGCATTTCTATAAAACATTCTACAAAATTATAATTAATGGTATTACCTCGAGTATTGGCATTACCATAGATTTTTGGGGCAAAATATTTTGTACTGCATTTTCTGTTTTCTCCAATATGTGTGGAGGAGTCGATGGTAAGTCTTCTATATCGTTGATTTCAGACATTTTGATAATATAATTATCGAAGTTTAGCTATCTACGAAAATTTAATATGTACTGATTTTGACAACTAAAACAATTACATAGGAATCTAGGACAAACGTCAAATGCTTAAATGATTAAAAATCTGTATCGTTATGAAAAATATCTGTATCATAATGGGTATCATGAAACGGATTATGGGCATATAAGTGCATTTTTATAATACGGGTGTAGAAAAAGCTATTTATATAACGTAATTTGTGTTTTGTTTCACATTTTCGCCGAATTTTAGCAGTGCTCCTCGTAACATTGAAATATTTATTAATTTTTTTTATATCTGCAAATAAAAAGGCTTTGGTTTGGTTCATTATTTACCTTATCCAACTAAATAAATAACTAGTTAAAAACGGATATTAAAGACTCACCTTTTCGTGAAGCCCTTGAGACTAAATTTTGAAAAAAATGAGGGTCTCGTGTGGGGTGAATCTCCCGGCGATCCTTGAGCGTACGTCGCCCTAGGCCTGGTCTGTCCCGAATGGAAGGTGCTCCTGGATGATGTATTCCTGGGGAACGCTTGCTGCCTGGTCACTGCGGGCGAAGCACTTGTGCGGCTAAAAATGAAAGAAAACGTTTTTCATATGCTTTGGTTATACCTACAGGAAATTAATAAATTCGGTATCAAAACGTTATACTGAAAAAAATGTTATTTACAAGGAAAACGAAACTGGTAATAGTGGTGCAAACAGGAACAGGTTGAAAAAGTTATTTTAAAAATTGTGTTCCAATAATTTTCTACTTCAAATTTAACTACAAAGTTTCATTTCGTTGGAAAATGTGTATTACGAAATTTATAATACTTATATGATGTCACAGCGATTGTGAAATTTCTACTAAAAAATCAGAAAGTCTTAAACTACACTTCCTAATTTGGAAATAATTTATTTTAAATTTTTATTAATTTTTGGTCATTCAAATACATTGAGAATTTTTCAATCAAACAATGTCTAAATAATAGAAGATTTTTTTTTCAATATTAAAGTTCAAGTCATGAAGGTAAAACATATATTTTATCTGATTTTCAAGTAAATTAGGTTTAACATTTACCTTTTTTTAATGAAACACAATTCTTTTTAGTTCAAAGTAAAAACCATTAGTTTTAGGATTATTGTTTAAAAAAATTACAAATATGTTACACTAAACTCGCTAAGGAAACTAACACAAAAACATCTACTTTCAGGTCACAGGAGATTAAAAAACATACATTATTTTGTTGTTCATATTAAATAGTAAATTTTTGATTTTGTAATATTATAAATCTGGAAATCAAGTTTATATTATGTTTATATATTAATATTTAATAAAAACTTTAAAGAGATAGAGACAAGAATAAAAAGGATAATTTGTAAGGTATTCGTCTTCAGCTACCAATGAAAAGAAAACGTTGAAAAACGCGAATGAAGAAAAACGATATCTGAAGAAGACGAAGAACTGTTATACAAAAGTCAAAGAATAAGGTGGTTAGGATACATAGAAAAGACAGATTGAGAAAATTGAGATTAAACTAAAAGGCATAAAGTGAAAGTTAAGAGCATGATTGAGAAATATTGTTGCTCTAGGCTTTCAAAACGTGTATACAAGTTTATAATTTTTAATAAACAATGTTTTCCCTATTAATTTAATGAGTCAAAGTTATTTTCCAAGGAATATAAGCTTGTTTTCAGAGTTACAAGTATTAAGCGATAATGAAGTTTCAAAGATGACCTTATTTTGATTAACTAGTTTTCTACGATTTTAATACCACATAGGAGTTATTATATTTATTGTTAACACCAAACCAAAAATTATAATAAAAAACATAAAAACACGAGTCTGAAAGTATAACAAATATTATAGGATAAATTCTCGATGTTACAATACATCAAATCGATAAAGATTGATTCACAAATAATTATTTTTGTTTAAATCATAATATTCAACAAAAAATGTATGTTTTATATAGTGTCTTTTTCTTACATTGAGAGCAAATTCTAAGAAATTTTTAGGTAAGGAAAGTAGTAAGCAGTTTACATATTTGAATGTCTAATGTAATTATTTAAGAATAGAGAAATGGTTGATCCCTGTGTATTTAATTATCGCTATGATCCGTCTCAGAGAATAAGATCAACTAATGATTACATGACAATTTTTTTTTACACACATTCCTTAACTATTAAAAATTGTATATTAACAAGTGCTAAAAATATATTAAACAATTAATGTTAAACTTAACAGAAACCCTATGTCAATGATTTTACACTAGTTTTTGTCTATGACGTTATTTCATTATATATTGGTATATTTTTCTTCTATAAATCATATTAGCGTTTTCTAAAATAAAGTTTATTATTATTATCTTCAGCTGCGTCAGAATAATGTCATGTCTAAAAAATTGGTATATCGTGTATATAGATTCCTTGAAATCTAGTACAGCACTAATACTAATTAACTGGATAAAATTAGTTTTCACTATTATTGCCGGGTTGTACAATATAATTAGAAGGATTTGCTCTCAATTTCACAAAGACACATATCTTATCTCCCTCGTGACCCATCGACCTACCTAGTACGCAAAGGGTCAGTAGTGGCCTCCGGACCACTACTACTGACCGAGGCCGATTTTACATGACCCTTTCCAGGCCGTAAAGTGTCCCCGGCACCAATAGCATCAGGGCTGCACATGCGGTTAGCAAAAGAATACAATTTTACTTTTAGTTTGTTTTTTTTTTTGGTGTGGGAGGGATAAATAAAAAATAATACGGGACGAGTAAACTAAGTTATGGGTAATTACTACTCTGTTTTTGACAGGGGTTTTTAGGTGGGCGGGAGTTGTAAGATGAAAACCTGAAAAATCTCGAGAAGCGTCGAATACTAGTAGTATCTGCGTGAAAATTTATTAAATCTGTCATGTTTGTTAAGTTTAAAACATTATTTAAAAATTTTACAGCCGGTTGCAAGAACGATCATTAAATACTGGGTGCATCAGAATTATGGGAACACATCGAAAGGTTATTTAATGCAATAATAGAAAATATTTGAGTACAAGAACCCATGTCCGAAAATGATCCCTAAGGTGCTACGGTCCCATTACGTTTTGAGTCAGTTATGTGAAAAAAATGTGTTTAATCTAGTGTTACAGCATTGTTTTTATTTACATAGTATTAATATGTACAAAAATAAATGAAAACAATGCTTTAACACTCGATCAAACACATTTTATTTTTTCACATATGGGTTCTTGTACTCAAATATCTTCTATTATTGCACTGAATAACTTCTACGACGTTTGATCACCATAGTTTTGATTCATCCTGTATTTATAGACTCATTAAACCCCGACGATTATTTAAAACTCATACAGGTTGCATTTTGCTCTAATAGCTAATGAGAGATCAGAGCTGGCAACGTCGCGTTCGTCGCTTCATTACTATTGTCAGTAGTGTTGTGAATATCCGTATCTTTTTACTATTCGGATAATACGTATTCGGAACCAAGAGATATTCGGATCATAGAAATAGTATAGAAAGCCGATTCCATATATCAAAAATGAAACCATAAGGAGAAAATAGTGTGTCGGAGCTCATGCGTATAACGGTGCTGGAGCGAACAGGACCGGTGCAAGTTTTTTATTGATCGAACAAATAGTTCGCACGATATTTCAATCATACATTTTTAGAGATGATTCTATACAAAAAACGATTAAAAAAATTTCAAGTTAAGGTAAATATGGTTCTGACAGTTCTTATTAAGAAAGATATGGCATAAAATATGAATTAGTTAATTTTCGGCAATCATTAGTACAGTAGTCATGAGATTTTGCTTGTGATTTTAAAAATACTTTCCAGAAAAACCACGTGCTCCGGTTTTGACTACGTTTATTATTAAACAGCGAAATTATATACAAAAACTTTAATCCACAATCTAAATTAGGTACTATCACAAGAAAATCACTGTTACAATAATTAATTACTTAACCAAAAACTAAAATACTTTTTAGGTACCTACGTAACCAGAAAGGAGCTGGACCATTTATCCTAATATTGATTTTCTCTCTCCCTACGGTAAAACTTAAAACAATAACAAATTGCCTATCTACTAGGGTCGGTAACTAAACGTATATACATAATGGGCGGATTTTGTTTATACTTAACATTACACTCGCGCATTTAAATATAACTATGCATATAAATATTTACAAACAAAGATACTTTTCCAAACAGGCAATCATTAGTACTGTAGTCACAAGATTTTGCTTGTGATTTGACATCTTATTTCATAATATCATTTGCTACAACTAAATTTAATCTGGGGAGTGCAAAATAGGGCCCAGGAATATTATGTTCGATATTTTTTTACATTTTGTCAGCAGAGACTATGAGTCGTTAGACAGAAAACCTTTCATGTTACCATTTTCAATATAAATTAAAAAATTAAAAAATACTACTACATTTACTTGGTACATATTTTATTTTAATTTTGAACCCTTTTAAAAGGGTTTTTCGGTTCCATAATAAAAATTAGTTGCTGCTTACTAGAAACATTCTATATAGCCTAAACCAATTTATAGTTTGTTTTCGATCAATTTAATACAAAGATTTAAAGTTTTTAGTCGATGATAACATTCCACACCAGCACATTGCAAACCTATTTTATAAATAATAGGAATAAACTTGTAAATCATTAATTTGGTAGTTATCTCACTCATATGATTTTTTTGTTTATATGAATATTTCGATTTCTAAATATATTTTGGCCTTACAATACGAAGCGTTTTGTATCTACCACTTTTTTAATGAACGATGAATGTTGACAGGCGTGTACCTTTTTCGGAACAAGAGGCGTTTTAACGAAGGAAATGATTTTCGAACTATCTAGTTAGTTTTCGGAAAAGTAGAAAACGTTTGAAGAAAGTTGTCAATAACAGTTTGTCGTTCATGTGTTTCATTTTGATCAGCTTTCATACTAAATTGCGTAGAATATTTTTCCGATTCAAAATCGAGATTCTCGATATTTCCACAGTTTATTTATAATACCTTCTAAACTGAATTTATCTATCATTTTATATACTTTATAATATATGTTCATGCCCTACTTTTCACTTTATTAACAATTTTTTTTAACATACTTCAAAATGGTAGGATATTCTCAATTCGTTGAAATATTTTTTTATGTATGTTGAGCGATAATTCTTTACCACGTTGCCCGATTTCTAGGATTCTTTTTGTTAGAAAAGGAAACAGTTTTATATACATTAAGTCAAGATCTGAAGATGGGATCCATAAGAAAATTATTAACATCTTTATTTTTAAAGTAAGTTTTTTTTTAAATTTCTTTAAACCTTACTGGTTCGAACGCCGTAAGGAATGAAGAAATGTAAATAATTGTTGTGCCAGCCAAAAAACGAAGAGGAAGTACCGATTAAAATATCGAGTGACAGAAGAGTTCCTAAGATTGTTGAGATCGGGTTTATGTTTTAAAATGCCTTAAAACCGATATCGATAATGTCTCCCCGTCGCTGGGCAGCCTGTATATAAATATACAGATCTCTATTTACATAATTATAATTCTTAGGTAG